AAAAGCATCTGCTAAATGACTAAATGTAAATGTAATGTAAGTTCAAAGATACGATAATGCAATGTGAATGGTTCAATGAGAACAATGTGAATTTGAGATCATTTCCCCCCACAGATGAATAAAAGTCATCATACAAGCAACTGAAACTGCTACTTTCTATACCTTACTCAGATCGGTTCAGTCCAGTGGTAGACAGCAAAAATGTGCCACATGCAGAGAATATTGTGACTTTTAACAAATACAATAAAGGCTTTCAATACAGTTCAATACAATTCAATTTAAAAGCTTTAAGAAATTTTAAACAAAGCCCAAAACGCAAACATTTCCCTAATGCAAATATAAGCAGCAGGCAATACAAGTTGATGAAATATAAAAAGTAAATATAATGTATTAAGAAAAAGGTAACATTTAATCAATAATTAATTGAGCAAAAGTGATCAATAATCACTGAAATTAAAAGTGGAATCTAATGAGATGGATCTCTCTCTCTACTGACATACAAGTAGGGATGGGTATCGTTAAGGTTTTAATGGTATTACTATTCTTACGTTGCTGCACATCAACCCATTTCTTTAATGGTAATCTTTTATTTATTGATTTTTTTTAACTAAAAAAAAAAACTGGCTTTATATTCTGAAATTTCAAAATCTATAGCAAAGAAACAGCATGTTTGAACAAAAACTATTATTAAAAACAAATGAATATAAAACATACATTTGAAATTGCACCAGTATGAAGTGTTTAAGACTTATACTGTATACATAGTTTCTACATAATTTTGATTCTAACGAAAAAACTAAGATCTAAAAGTAATATTCAGATAAATAATAGCCTACAAAAGAAGCTGATAAATTAATCAAATCTAAAAAGAACACTGCATAGTCTTCACTGTATAAGATGACAGATTAATGCTTATTAAACCACTAGAGTCATTCAGTCAAGAGTAGAGAGTGATGTTTCTCTTTTCTTTTGTTGTTTGATTATCATTAATGATACGGATGGCTGTAGGTTTATTTGGCTGCTGTCACTTTACAGTTTTTTTCAACTGCTTACACACCAAATCTTTACTTGTCACACAATTTCTGAAACCTGACACTCAAACAGCAGAAGCACACACCAAATCGCAATATGCTAATTTTTGGCCTTTGACTCAGTTTTAAATTTCATAAAACACTTTTTTGCAAAACACAACACACAATTCTCTATGTAACACAAATATCTAACAGGAAGTATCTTGATTTCCTTTTTCAAACACAACCAATCAAAATGCCACACTAATTCATCAGCGCCTCACACTAACTCCTCACATGTGCAAACACTCATTGCTTTACTTAACACCAACCAATCATGGCTTTAGAATAGGCCTATAAATAGGCCAAAGGTCAAGTTATAGGTTTTGAACAATGGATGCAAACAATGCAGACAGAGTAAGGGGAGTTGGAGGGAGAGCCAGACGACGAGGCAGAGTTAGAAGAGGAGGAGTTCAAAGAGGAGGAGTTGCAAGGGGAGGAACAGGAGGAAGAGGATGAGATGGACAGGCAAGAGGAGGAGGACAAAGACCAGGACATAGAGTCCAGCCTAATTTGAGTCAATTTACAGTGGTGGGTATAATTCAAACCTTTAGAAATGATAACAGGTATGTAACAATTTACTGTAATGTACATGTTCTAATGTACACTATTCTAATGTAGCTATTTCAGCATAACATATGGCATACTATAATACATGTATTTTAGCACCCATGCATCCATTTACTGTAGTGCACTGCACAATTGGTCACAGTCTGGTGGGTTATCATACTGTACAGTTCAATGTAAGAAGACATTCTGACTATATTGTATAAAATAGTATGTATTATGTTACAGTTTATGGCACACACTCACACTATTCTTGAATCTTCTACAGAGTAGCAAGGCGAAGGTTTCACGGTGGGCGAGGTCACAAGTTCACTGAAGAGCAAGAGACGGCTATCGTGAATTTGGTTTTGGCCAATAATGCTATAAGAATTCGTGAAATATGCAATCATATCCTTAATAATGCCACAATTTGTGCTAACATAAATGCTGTGAGCCCCTCAACAATACATCGTGTCCTCCAGAGAAATCAACTGAGAATGAAACGGCTGTATAAGGTCCCATTTGAAAGGAATTCACAGTAGAATCTCCTGGTTTTGAAGATGAACTTTATTCACTGTGAAACTTTAGATAATGTTTCTTTGTCATGTCACTTGTAATGTCTGGTTAGGACAGATTTATCCAGATGCTATATTATTGTTTAATGCATTATTGTGTCTCATTTGGTGAGGACGCAGCATCAGACCTGAAAGTGCTGATCTGAAGATGATCTACTTACTGTGAATGTTTTTTGTATGTCTGTGTAGAGAAGAGGAACGATTGAAACACTTCCCACATGCAGTGCAGTGATACGGTTTCTCTCCAGTGTGGATCCTTTCATGTGTTTTCAGGTCTCCTGACCGACTGAATCTCTTGCCACAGTGTGAACACGTGTAAGGTTTCTCTCCAGTGTGGATAGTCATGTGTTCCTTAAGGTTTGCTGATTGTGTGAAACTCTTGCCACATTGATCACAAGTGAACAGTTTCTCTCCAGCATGAACTCTCAAATGTGCTGAAAAGTATCCTTTTTGTGCAAAACTCTTTCCGCACTGATCACAAGTGTACGGTTTTTCTCCAGAGTGAATCCTCTCGTGTGTTTTCAGGTGTCCTGACCGATTGAATCTCTTGTCACAGTGTGAACACTTGTACGGTTTCTCTCCAGTGTGAATCCTCTCATGCTGTTTTAAACAATTTGCTGAAATAAAAGTATTTTCACACTCAAAGCACATGTACTCTCTCACACCAGTATGTATTTTCTGATGTTTTTTCATATATTGTAGACATGAAAAACTCTTTCCACACAAATAACATGAATGTGGTTTCTCCTTTGTATGAACATTAAGGTGTTTTTTCAGGTCTGAAGCCCTCAAAAATGTTTTGTCGCACTGATCACATGTGTAAGGTTTCTCTCCAGTGTGGATCCTCTTGTGTTTCTTCAGGTCTCCTGCCCAAAAGAATCGCTTGCCACATTGTGAACACTTGTATGGTTTCTCTCCAGTGTGGATGGCCATGTGTTCCTTAAGGCTTGATGATTGTGAGAAACTCTTTCCACATTGATCACAAGTGAACGGCTTCGCTCCAGTATGAACTCTTATATGTGCTGTAAGGTGTCCTTTTCGTGTGAAACACGTCCCGCACTGATCACATGTATGTGGTTTCTCTCCAGTATGAACTCTCATGTGAACATCAAGACCATATTTGCTGGTCAAACTCTTTCCACACTGAGTGCAGGTGTAAGATTTATTGGCTCTTCTTTTCTTCAAATATTTCTGTTTGGTTTGAGAGCAACTAAAGGGTTTTTCTCCAGTTTTGAAGTGATTTTTCTCCTCAACTTCACTCAGTTCTTCACTCTCCTTGTATTCTTCAATCAACCCTAAAATAAAAGTAAAAAAGAGAAATGTAAAGACATAAAAGTGATCTCTGATGTAACAGTGTAGACTGTCTTATTTTTTTTAACCCAAATGCTGGGATCAGCCTGTTGGTTCATTTTATTGTGTTATTTTTAATATTTTTACCCAGGTGCGGAGTAGTTTTTCTGCACTCTAAAAATGCCAGGTTTTTTTTTTTTACCCAAATGCTGGGTTCAGCTTGTTAGGTCGTTAGTTATTTTTCAATGTTTGGCTAGTTTTTGTGTTACTCCTGGGTCCTGGGTCAGACGTACCCCAGCGGTTGAGTTATTTATCGCAGGGATTTTGCGATCTCTTCAGAAGAGAGTCGTTCTAAACGCCATCGAATTGATGCATTTCTTCAGCAAAATACAGGTGTGTGTACATTTTATTTTACCTAGTAAATACTACAGCACCTTAAATCATCAACCTGCGACCTTGACACACTTCCCACATATTTTTTTCAAAAGTGTGCTTTACTGTTTAGAAGCAGATATCTTAGAAGTGGTGAACACCTAACTTCTCTCTGGGACTTTCCAAACTCCCTGAAAACTGCAGTTGTTAAGGCCCTCCTGAAAAAGAGCAATCTTAGGCCTAGGACCTAAATACATTGCAGATATGCTCACCAAATATAAGCCTTACAGACCACTCAGATCATTAGGATCGAGTCAGTTATGGCGCTTTTCCACTGCATGGTACGGCTAGGCTCGGTACGGTTTACTTTTGGGGGGTTTTCCACTGGGTACAGTACCCTGGTACTTTTTTAGTACCACCTCGGTTGACGTTCAAAGTGAACCGTACTGTTACCAAAACGTGACGTGTAAACTCTGCTGATCACGGATTGGCCGGAGAGAATCTTCATTACCTGCGTCAATGAACTTGCGACACAAACACAAAAGAACCGCTAGATTTAAATCAGCACAGCCAGCGAAGGATCGAACGCAACTGTTTAACAAGAGCACCCTTTTTAACAACCAAAAAGTGGCTGTTTCGTTGTCTGTCGAGGAAGTACAGATGTTCCTCTCGTTGATAGCAGAGGAGCGGATCCAGCGAGAGCTTGATGGGGCAACGCGGAATTAAATATTTTTCAAGAGTTGCGGCAATAGAGGCGGCGCAACTATAACGACATGTGAATAATCCCGCCCACTCTAAAGCGATACTGAACTGCAGTGGAAACGCAAACCGAGCCGAACCGAGCGTTGCATTATGCAACATATACTGTTGCGAGATGGAGCTTCTAGCTAACTGTTGTTATGTTTTTATCTTATCTCAAGAAGTGTTGCTATGTAGTTTAGAAACTGCTATCTGCCTTGCCTATGCCTTTAAGGTGTCGCAATTGTTTAGATTAAAGTAGAGATAGATTTGCTTGCTTCTTTGAAAGATGCTGCAATTATTCCATTTGAACTTATGCTACTATGAACTTGTTAATTGTGATAAAGGTCACATATCCTGGCTTTGGTAACTCTAGCAACCTAGGTTTATGCTTACAAAGAGAGTTAAGTGTGTGGGTGTTTGTGTTCACTATGTTTGACAAAAATGGAAGTAAAAGACTTATTGTATTAATGCAAATTTTATACATGACTATAAAATGCTATGTTTGGAGCACATTCATGCCGCACTTCGAGGTGAAGACTTCTCGCTGTTACTTTTGATTTCAATACCTATGAGTTATTGTTTTTAATAAAGCGAAACCATTTCCAATGGTGATGTGTTAAACTTCTTTTTAAACAAGTCTCTGAGTATTTTATTATCGGTAACCCATTATCTGAACTTGAAAAAGACTTCTGTCAAAGCCCCAAGTAGCCCGGACCTGGCTGAGTGAGCTCGGACACCGGGGAGGATTCCTGAAACTTCTGACTACACTTTTCAATACAAGAGGTAAGGGCATATCTGTTGATTGCAACTGCTTGTGGGAAGCAACGATGTGAGTTCGAACATTTCTGGGTCCTTAACCTGTTAACCCGCACCTGGACGCCGGCGCACTGAACGCTCTGTTTGCACGTGTCAATGTTTACGAATAGATTAAATGAAAAGGGACATGATTAATCTTGACAAACTATATATCATTCTAAAGGTCTAAGCCTCACAGCATCGACGACAGATGTGCTAAAACATTAGCCACATTTAAATTGCAATAGGAAGTGACCCAATAAATATGCAATTCCCGTTCAATTCTCAATTGGAAGCAGCAACAATGAACCAGGTAAACTAGAAATTCATTTTGATGATCTCCTTGTCCAAGGGATTCAAAAGGACTGGAGCCGCAAAGTTAAAAAACAAAAGAAGATGGAACGGCGCCGAGGGAAACAAGATGGAGCTGGAACATCAGAAGATTAAAATAAGGACAATGATCCAATTATTTAGGAAGCAGGAAGCTCTAAATAAAAAATTATGAGAATGTTGAAGGAAATGATTGATTTGAATCATTTTCCTTTGGAGTTACAATCTTTAGCAAATGATCTAGAACTGTTGAGGCTGCAAACTCCTAACTCAGCCTCTAAAATATTTTAGATGCAATTTGAACATGTGCCCGTCTGGTGTGTAACAAGCAGGTGTTGCTCAACTTGTGGTTAGCAACCGTTAAAAATGCCA